GAGAGAGAGAGAGAGAGAGAGAGAGAGAGAGAGAGAGAGAGAGAGAATGCTAACCGTCCAAATTCTGTAAACCAATAAAGGGTTCATCAACGCCTAAAAGATTTTTTTTCCTTAATTACCGAACCCACGGTGAGGCTTTGTAGCAACAACCAACTAATGACTCCACCACAGCTCCCGAGCCACTCGGCTCGCCCTGATTTTCCTGTCGTATTCGTGATTTTAATTGCTCCTTCTTAGCGCCTGTTTTGGGGTGTGAACTGCGGTCCTGGGCGCCTAATGCAGCCGCTTGGATGCCGTCTGAACCCGAGGTCTCTTCGCCTTGCGGGCCTTGCCCACGTAAGTGATCGCTGCGGTGTGTGCCGGGGTTGAGGTTGGGACTGGGGAAAACTGGACTACTGTCTCTTGGAATTTAGTGCAGGGATCCGACGGGCTGCCTAGGGCCAGTTTATCCCAGAGACTCGCTGGGTTGGGGAACCGGCGAGGACCGCAGGACTACTCCAAGATGCTCTGTCTTTCCACTTAGCGGAGCAGGAGACCAGGGTGGCTTCTGGGGACCGACTAGGTTTCAGAGACTGGTATCATTTAGAGCTGAATTGTGAGGACGCACACTCCAGAATTACTTCCTAATCCGAGGAAGCAAGCAAGTCTAGGGAGAAGCTGAGCCAGGCCTCCGGAAGAGTGCACCCGCCTCACCTAGCTTCACCAAGGGAGATCCTATCTCTACTTTGTGAGCCCAGAATGCATTCCTCCAACTATCCCAACTCTAAGGCAACACCTGTTCTAAAAGGCCTAGACCTTTTCCTGCTCAAGCATGAAAGGAAGTTAGAACCTCACATAGGGTCTGAAGGTTCCAGACAGGAAGCAGAACTCAATGGAATCACCTAGGGACCCAGTAGCCACTTTACTCCTGGCTGGAATCCCTGTGGTTTAGGGTTAGGTGCCGGTGCCGGGTCAGTTCAGCTGGCTAACTAATGTGGAAGTGGACAAGATGCCGCTCTTTTTTTTTTTTTAAACCCACCTCCTAATCTTAACTTCAAAGACTGTTTACGCAAAATTCCTTTAACTCAAGTTTGTCTCCTACAGAGCTGCAGAGTTTAGCCGGGTAGGCTAGATTACCAAATCAGTTTATATACCGTCCCCATAAATACCTCCACCTGCAATAATTGCCCCAGTAGTTGGTAAAATCCTGTGGTCCTAATAAAACTATCCTTAGGGGGACCCGGGAGTAAACTGATCTGCAGATAAAGACACTAGATGCTAATCTGATTGCTCTAGGGAAGGAGTGAAGTCATTCTCTGGCAAATAGCTCCTAAGGCCAGCTGGGCCCTGGTCTTCTCTAGGGAACGTGAATTGTCCATGGCCACAGCTCCAGTCTCTGCCTGGCTAATTCCAGAACACCTCAAAAGTTTGTCAGTTGATCTTACAAATCCTCATTCCTTCATACTCTCACACAGATTAGATTTAGAATCCCCCCCCCCCAAAAAAAACAACTGTAATCTCAAACAACTGATCTGGAGGGTTGGGGATCATGGAGAGACTCCCAAATTTGGAGAGGAGCTGGGATTTACCACTTTTCCAAGGGCTGGTCCTCAGTATCCCATCTCCTTGTCCATGGCTCTGGGTGTCTGAAAGACAAGCTAACTCCCTATGGATGCCTCTGATGCCATCTATCCTGGCAAACATAAGACTTGTCCGTGGCTCTCTGCCACACATAGGAACACAAACTAGAGTTTGCAGGGTCACTGATGGTCTGGGCCTCTCTAACTTGCCCGGAGGGGACTGGCTTCCTGTAAAGCTCAGCCTGACCCACCCTGGAGCGAGGTGTGAACAGATCCCAGGACAAAAAGGGAAAGCAGAGTGCTCTGGGCAGGAATGGACTTCCGCTCCGGAAGCAGCAGGTAGGTGCTGCAGGCACATAGATTCATAGTTAACGCTGATAGCTCCAGATCAGGCCAGCTAGGACCTTGTCTGAAATGTGTCTGGTGTCTCCACTCTCAGGGAGGCCTCAGGGATACCAGATTTGTATAGCCCAGGGAGCAGGGGAGTGCCTGTCCCAGGCCGGCAGCTGGGGGTGTGGGGGGAGGCCAGTTTAAGGACTAGTTGGGCTCCAAACTCAAGAAGGGTATGGGGTTGCAGCTCAACTTTTTAGCAAAACAAATGATCTAGTATGGGGGTGGTCTCAGGCTGGGAGGGGATCAAGCATGGCTGGCTGCTGATGAAAAGGCATCTGCAAGGCCTTGTCTGGACTCCTAACATCTTCAGAAAGGCTACACTATGGTCCACAGCCTAGAAAACATTTGCAGGCAATGCTTCCTGGCTTCTCTAGGCCAAACCTTGGTGAAGAGGAAACTGGGCAGGGGTGGAAGCAGGTGCTGCCTCCGGAAGTGCCCCCAGGCCTAGCCAATTTAAGACCCACAAGGGGAAAAGCAGACTAAGACATTTTTTCAGATAACAGGTTGGTTTTTTTTGTTGTTGTTGTTTGTTTGTTTGTTTTTTTCTGTGTGTGTGTTTAAAGTTTGGCGATTCCAAAACTAACCACCTGCCCCTCCCCTTTGTAACTGTCCCTTGTAGAGAGTGAACACGATGGGGTTAAGAGGTTTTTTTGTTTTTTAAAACTTGGATAGAATGGGCGAAATCAGAATTAGAATCAGGGACAGGGCAAACCACCTGCCCGGGAAGGTGGTTCTCCAGAGGCCTTTGCAGGCAGCAGACCTAAGTCCTCAAAGTCCTGTCCACACTGTACTTTTCTCTGAGACACTGCAGACTCCTATGTGGCCTGTGGCTGGCTCCTTGAGAAGACAGGCACCGGGCCTCAGTGGCCTTGCTGGTAGAGTCTTAGGCTTCCTGGGGTAGTTTGGTCAGGATCTCCACGCCTCTTGCTGTGATGAGGACTGTGTGCTCGAACTGTGCGGACCTGAAACACAGGGGGCGGCAGTCAGGACACAGTGTGCACTAGCAGCTCTGGGTGCCGCTGAGCAACCTCCCTAGCCCAGCAGTTCAAACGTAATGGGGCAAACACCTTTGGTTGTCTAGTGAGACCACAGTCCACTCATCCTCCATGACTTTAAATTCTGGGGACCCCTCAGTGATGATTGGCTCTGTAAGAGAGAAAACATTTAGCATAGTAGATATTGTTTCCGGTCTGTGATGAGAGAGAGAGAGAGAGAGAGAGAGAGAGAGAGAGAGAGAGAGAGAGAGGATAAGGATGCTCTCCCTCCCCGAGTGTTTCACCCACAGCCCTTGTTGTCATCTTGCAAGGGCTGATAATTGAGCTGCTTACATAGAATACTACAAACTAAACAGTAGGAAGAGGAAACGCAACAGCATTTTTTTAAAAAAAAAATGTATGAAGTTGCCTGGTTCATAGTTTTTTTAGAGAAAGAAGGGCATTTTAATCAAGCCTTAATTAGGACCCTGTGGATAATAACCACCCAAACACCAGTCCCTCTTATAAATACCAGTCAGATTTTTAAAAAATATTTGAATTTTAAAAACACGCTCAAAATGTTCATTAATCAGCAAATAACAATTTTCTTATTTCACCCTAATTGCTTCTCCATTAAGTCCTACAGTCAGAGCTAGGAGGCCTTGGTGGCCCTAGGTGATTGGAATTTGGTGGTGACACCAATCACGCCATCAGCCAGGAATGGGCTGCCACAGAGCACATGCCACTTGCTGACAGACAGCAAGGGACTTAATCGTCTCTAGTTACTGGGTGTTAATGAAAAAACAAAACAAAACAAAAAAACAAACAGCACATTATGCCGGTAACAGAATTAGAGGTTGGATGGCTGCAGTCTCCTAAATGTGTCGGTAAGTATCTGATTTAGGAAGACGGGGCTAGAGGATATTATTTAATCACATTTACTATGCATCCAAATTATTTCATTATGCTGATTAGTTTCATTAGTCCTTAGCAGGACTTCAAGTCTAGGCAAAGGCCAGTTTTCCGTCAAGGGGCCCCAGCTCTCCGAAGAGGAGACCAGCATTTACCTATGGTGAAAGCCATGCCCTCCTCCATGGGCAGGTCATTGTCATTTGCTGCAAAACAAACACAGGGAGGTATGAGATAAGGAACCAAGGAGAGAAAGAGACATGGAGGGGGTTTGCTTTTGGAAAGGGTAGAGGGTTCTAGATCCCTGGTTGAGCCCACGGGGTTAAACACAGGGCTTGCAGGAGGTGGGGGAGTCTCACTCTGTGTTCTCAGACTCCGCCCACTCTTCAGCAGTTTGGCAAGGCCTGGTGCGGGCAGCTAGGGTGTTCAGATACCAGTACAATTCCTTCTCTACTTCACTCACGTCTGTTGTTCCCCACACCACCTGATGCTATGTCCCCTGGTCTCCCCAAGGTCAAAATAAGTCTTGGGGGAAAGACGCTAAAGGCCAACACCTGGCACGTAGGATGGAGCAGGAGGAGAGGGCTCCATCCTCAAACATCTGCGTGCATTGGCATGGGTGGGTAATGGGAAGACAGGTTTTTTCCACGTTGATGGGGATCTCTTCTGAGCTGCCTCAAGTGGGGCTCTTTGGCTCAGAGGGGCACTATTCTGCTGGATCTCCATGGATCCTAGGGTGGCTTCCAGTTATTTCTCCCAGGGACTTGTCCTATCTCAAGTACACAAGGCCATGCTCAGGACTAACTTTCTCTTAGCCCTTGTTCAAATGTGCACCCCCTCGGGGACTCTCCTCCAGACAGCTGATTAACCCAAGTCGTCCCCCCCCCCCTCCCTTGACTGCTGCCTTCTCTCTGTAGGGTGCACACCCAGATGGGGAAAAACTGGATTCTGAGGAAGGAAACACCGGGGTGGGCATAATCCAGAAAACACGAAGGAGTACATGCTGCTAAATGCATCAGCTGTCGACGCTGTGTAGGATGTAACGAAGTTTAACCACAACAGTCAGCGGTTAGGGAAGTGGGGGGGGAGAAGGAAAACAGAAAACAGTCACGTGAGCATGCTGCTGGGATGCAGTGCAGTGGGGTTTTGTTTGCAGTAACTTTTTCTAGACAAACATCCCTCAGGCCTGCCAGTCATGCATCCTTCAGGAGAGGGCCAAAGCCAAAATGAACTTCATTTGGGAAATGTGCTGACCTGTGACCCTCCAGCACACTAACTTCCTGGTTAAAATGAAGTAGATAACCTCACACTCCCAAGACAGTGGCGGGGGTAGGGGGTAGTGACAATGTGGATTCAAAGCAAAAAGAACTTGGAATAAAACTGATGTCACTCAATAAATAGCTTCCAAAATAACTCTTACCATGATGCCAAATTTCTGGATGTCCATGAAAGTATGATCCTATCCCATGTCCCACAAAATGTGGACAGACTTGCAGCCCATGCTGATGAGTTATGCGGCTTTAAAATAACCCAAAGACATCTGATTCAGTCAAATGTTTTAATGCATATTAAGATGAAAAATAAAATCACTTAAAATAGTCTCTGAGAAAGAAAAAAAATCAGTTCTGTAGATGGCGGGGGAGAGGGGAAGCAGGGAAGAGGAACAGGAGGAGAGGAGGGAGGGGGAACTGCAGTCGGGGATGTAAAATACATGAGAAAATTTAATTGATAAAAAATCAGTTCTATTTCTAGTCTGATGATAGCATGAATGTCTCCTTTATTCTGGAATAATTTTAGTGTCAACAGCTCCTTTTGGACATAGAAAGAAGGTATACATATGAGAAAGAAGGCATACATATGAGAAAGA